GTTGGTAAACTGGGTCAAGAAAGTCAAAAAAATGGATCAAGGTCACAGACCTAATTACATAGAGAACAACTATCAATAGTCACTTCTCCTTGTTTCCAGATTACCAATCTTTCTCTAATAAGGGTTATAGATGCTAAATATTTATACTGAAAGAAAAATAGAAACTTAAAAGAAATATGTTACCTAATATATTATTACTATTCACTGCAGCTCATCAGAGATCTGATGGTTTCATCAATTATGCTTCTGTATTTTGTAAAATATTTGAAAACACTAATAGAAAAAAACACAAATGAAATTATAATAGAGTATTAAAGAGATACTTTATTCAGTTTACTGATCTGTCTATGAAAATTCCAGGAGAGCCAAAGGCAAGAATATTGGGAAGATTAGGATACAACCATCCTTGGTCAAAATTGTATCTTCTGGCAACTTAAAATATATACCCCCAGGATTCATAGACCATAATACAAATAAAGATGACAGCAGATAGGAAGAGAAAATTTGAATTATAAAGGTTGGTAGATTTGTAATCAATTTCACGTACATTTACTTGTTCATCTCTTAAAGCGATATAACCAAAATACCTTTTTCAAAAAATAGAAAGTAATATAAGAAAAGTGAAGTTCTCAGAAGTAACTGTACTTTTCATATTCTTACTTAAGTTCAACAAATTAATACAAGAAGATCCTATCAATTGTACTAAACATTTCCTTATTACTTACTCTGAAATTTCAATTTTGGCACTAAAACCAATGTTAATAAGCTTGTGATACATCAGAGAAGCTACCTACCCTAAGGTTATATCATTCATAAGACAGATTTTATTTCAAAGACTTTGTTTCAGTGATGTGTTTTAGAGGATGAAACACTTGGAAGCAAGGTATTACAAAATTGAGAAAAATAATGCACACTAGTTTGACTGAATAGGTTAAACAGCAATTTGATCACAAACAGGTCTGAAAATAAAAAAAAAGAAATATAAATTATGTAAGACTGATGTTTGTTAGACAATGAAGCAAAACAATTAAAAGTTTTCTGTTATATTGCATACTTACAACAAATTTAAAATGTATTGACAATTAAAATGTACAGAGAACTAAAATGTCCTCTACTTTTGGTCTTACTGAGCTAAATCACAGATATAACATATACCAAATCTTTAAATGAAGAAAAGCATGTGGAAATAATAGGGTTAAAATTTTAGTTTAAAAGTACAGCAAAGCTGCATTGATTGTTTTAGCAGAAAGCTAAAATTGATACAGTTATTAATATATAAAGTAATAGTTTTGCTAGAAGATGTAATAAACTATATATATATAGATCAAAAGATAGCATTGTTGAAAAACTGTGCAACTTTCTAAGATGAGATTATTAAGCTTTTCTGTCAGAAACAAAACCATTATAAATATTTCTTTGTCTCACAGTAATAAAAATTTGAAAAATTATTCATAATGATGTTACCTGTCCACACATTGTGTGTCCTCACTATAGAGCAGTATTAAGGATCAGCAGCATTTTTACATTCCATAAATACATCCTTTTTAGGACCACTCAGTGTAATCAAAGACACATACTTAAATGTGAACAACGATTGGAGGAGATAAAAGGAATTAGCATTTTCTATATATGTGGATAAGAATTTGTTTCACATACAATCTGAAGAAATATCTAATTCTACAAGAAATTATTTTCATTAAGTCTAAATTCTAAAGTTTGATGTTATCTGCTTAATAAAATGTTATAAATTTAAGACACTGAAATTCTTCAATGCCTTATCCTAAGTGATGAGAAACAACCAATGTAGAACATAAGTTAACAGAGTTCAAATTATAACAGCTTTTTAAGGGAGTTTTTCCCAAACTTACAATTTAAAATATGTATAATGAATATATTGTTAGCATGTTATGCAATAGGCTAACAAAAGCAAAATCACAGATTTCTATTGGGCTTATAAAGTATTATTAGGAAATATGATTTAGTTATAAAGAACCAAACAACTGAGATGATACCTATTATTCAACTAACAATAGAAATAAAAAATACTTTATTGATAGAGTAAGACCCATGATAATTCTGTGTTTGAAGCTGGCAGCACTCAGGACTTTCATTTTAAAGCCTTTCATCTTGAACCCTATTTTCAAGGAATTCAATCTGATCTTAAAAGACATGTTATAACTTGGATTTTGGACTTTAGTGCTTTGGAAATATGTTTAATACCTCATAATGTAATTATAGATACCTTAAAACATATAAAGCAAATAGTAACAATGCGCTGGAAATAGAATTGAAAAATTCAGTGGTCCAGAAGCTCTTGAGAGAGTGATGCCTCTCAAAAGCTGCTCAAAGCTTCAGAATTTGAAGTTAAATTTTTGATGTTGTCACTCTCAATCTATTGAATGGCTGACAGACAATCAAACCGTCTGGCTGGCTGGCAGCTCATTTTGCTGGCAGGTGGCAAACAATTAGACACACCAATTTGTGCCTCCTGATGACATTAAAGCATGAAACTAAGTTGTATGCAGGGCCTAGTGATTTGTGTGAAAGCATTTCAAAAATAATACTCTTTGCCGTGGCAACTCATTTCAGACTGCCACCTCCCATTATGGCTTTGAGCACTGAAGACGACAGACTTGAGTTACGTGCAGTGCAAGGCCACTTCTGTTCAATCCGTCATCAGTGCCCCCTGAGACCTCAATCCCCTCCTTTCATCAATATCACCTCATCATTTACATCTGATAGTACTTGAGCTACTGCATATATTACCCACACTAGAGATTCTTTTCCTAAAAGGAAATACTGAAATATGCTTTGTGCTCTTCCATTTCATTTCTACTTTTGCAATTTAGAATAATGATTTCACTCCTATTGCATTTTGCACAAACGTAACCAGCAACAAATGGAAAGTTTTATTTTTAAGGCGATAGTCTCAAAAGCATAACAAATTCTGAATAGCTGAGAATACTGACACTCAGGTGTAACAATAATTCAAATAAAAACAAAAAACATTTTTCTTAATTTCACTGGATTCTCTTTTGGAAATCAGAATAATTCTCTGTATTTATTAGTTTGTATTTTAACAATTTAAAGACTTAATTTAAAATTAAATAGGACATGAAACTTAAATGTCCTTTAATTTATTATAACATTAATTCTTAGATAAAGACTTAAAGATATTTGCAAGAAAAAATATTTAAAAGGATACATTTATATAAACTCACAAACACATACACATATATCCTGGGAATATAAACCAAATATGTGAAATAAAGGACATCAATGTGAAACAGCATAAGGAACATTCACTATATGATGAACCTATGACTATAACATTCTCTATTTTTAAGAAAGAGAGAAAAATACCTGCCTACATGTCATAGTCCAACAATTTTTCACTTTTTAAAACTTTTGACACAACACACCTTATGTGATATAACCATTTGCAAACATCTTATTTCCGTACTACTCTGTAAGTTCAAGGAAGACAAAACTAATTTTGTTCATTTTTATCCCATGTAACTAATGTTACTACAAAAAAATTTAAAGAAATACATATGAAACACTGGTTGAAGTGTTTATAGTCAAAATTTAAATCATTATTTGTACATGAAAACAATAACTGATCATAAATAAATGACTTCATTGTCAAACACTTCTACCAGTGAACTCTAAAAATATTAGTTACTAGTTAGAACAAAGCAACTGGGCTATTTTACAGGGAGTAATGAGGAATATATGTTATACCTTCACTACATACCTATTTTGACATTCCAATTTAAGAAACATTTGATTTCCTATCTTATCTCACTAAAATTGCAATCACTTGATTTATAAATCACCTCATACAAACAAGCACACGAACACACATATTATATACATATATGTATATATACACACATAAATTTTTGGTATGAAAAAAGTATTTTAAAAATCAACAAGTTATTAATTCAGATGGTAAATCAACACATTCTTTGGTTTATATGTTAATATATAAACATAATTTGGAATATACATCAACTCCAGTAGTCACAGCTAAGTATTATTGTTAGTTTAATTACCTAAAATATTTTTGTAATACTACATATACTTTTGAATAGCAAAATATATGGCATATACAGATTCTTTAGTTATAAAATACTTTATTTTGCTTCTCTGGACTATTGTTTTTATTACATAGATAGTAGAATAGGAAGAAGAATTTGTTGTTCTTAATAAATTCTTTGAATGATTTAATTTTAAATGTAAACATATGGGACACGTTGTAAGTAGCTTAGATATACCTAATATGCAAAAAAAAAAAAAGCCTTTCAAGAATAGTTATTTTCAAAAGCTGGGTGTGGTGGCACATGCCTATCATTCCAGCTATGGCAGAAAGAGTAAAATAGGAAGATCATGTTCCAGGCTGGGCTGGGCAAAAAGCAAAACCTTATTTCTAAAATAATCAGAGCAAAAAGGAATAGAGGCATGGCTCAAGTCACACAGTGCTTGCCTCACAAGCATGATGCCCTGAATTCAAACTCTAATGGCACAAAAGGAAAAAAAATACTTATTTTCAAATACATGCAACAAAATATGACTTTTACATTGATAGTACAAATTCCATAAAGAATGACAATCTCAAGTAATCTTAAAATTTTTTCAGTATATTTTCATTTAAAAACTGAACTTGTATTTTGTTACTTAAATGTAAGCTATTTAATCTACAATAATTATGACAGTATCTAATAATACTGTAATGCAACTCACTGGATGCTAGATTATAACTAGAATCTGGACTTCCCTATTTCTAATCAACTACATTATATTGAAATTTTAAAGATATATTTTTTAAATGTTTTATCATGAGAATAATCAGTTTGGCCATTCACTTTGATAGTCTTTGTAATAAGGAGTTACATTAGTAAAAATAAAGTTATTAAGACCCTCCTAGTATTTTTAAATTAACAGTCTAATTATCATCCTACAGATAGAGCACAGTGAATAGGAAGTTAAGTACCTACCTGTCAAAGGAATGAAACTGCATAGGAAGAATAGCATGTGCTTCTCTCTTCAGTGCTGGGTCTGGGTATGGGATAGGTTCAGGGCCACATTCTGCAATTTCAACTGGAGCAGCCACAAGACTTTTCAGTATTTCCTTGACATTGATGCCTTTGGTTTGACTAATGCTAGATATGGATGGTGCAGGCTTCAACAATTCACTGGGATTTTCGGTTAAGCTCTCTTGTGATTTCTTTACTTCAGATGACAAAGTGGATAAGAGTTCACTCATGGCATCAGGACCTGTAGTTGTTTCTAATTCTGCCCCATTGAGGATGCTAGCTACTTGCTCCTCTCCAATTCCTGAATCTGTATGAGGAATTGAACTTTCTATCTGAATATCTTCACCAGGGGTTGGTGTTTCTTTTTCCTTTATAGTGTCTGGAAATGCAGCAGGTGTTTCTGTAATAAAAGGAATTGATTTTTTTAAGCTTCACAAGTGAAACTCTTGTGTTATTAATAAAATGTTCTCACAGTAGAATAGAGAAAATAAAACATGTAAGAAACAAACAAAAACATTCCACAGGCATGTTTGACTATACTTAACAGAACTCAGTCAACATATACATTTACAACTGTTTTGTTCAGAAAACATCAAAATAATCCTGCTTCTTTCAAAAGTTATCTAACTTTACAAAATTGAAACCTTTAATAGCTTAGGAAATAATTCTCATAACAACCTCTTAAAATAATTATTCTATGACTTTCCTGTTTTATCTTTCCATTGTTAGCTAACAATCATACAGGAGAAATTCTTAATATTTATTTAAAATTATTATTTTCCTTAAATATTTGAAGTCCTTTTCATATTTTCTTTGGTAGTTTAATAACCAATAGTGTAGTAAGAAATATTTAAACTAGTTGAAGACATTATTTTAAAACTACATGTTTTATACATATTATATATGTATATATAATTCTAAAGAATCTGTAAAATGTGAAACATCACAAAACTATTAGTTTTCAAAGGATAAATTCTTTAATAATGGAATAATGCTCCTATGAACTTATTCTATCATGTCTTTATGATCAATTATTTTAGAATACTTGTGCTCATTCTTTGTGAATGATTATGAATTTCATCTTACAAAAATTGAAATAGAAATGTGCATCTATATTTATATGAAATACACATACTGCTAATTAAAATAGATGAAATTTTAAATCTTAAAAATTTCAAATTCCTATCAAATCTCATTATACAAAGGTTAATATAATGAAATTCCAAGATAGTAAAGTGTTACCAAATTCTAAATGACTTTATAAAATGCATCTAAGTGAAATTTGTATTAGTAATTGTCTTTATCTTAAACATTTTGAAAAAAACAACATAAAAAGATATATAAATTACCTGAAGTTCCTATATTGAAGTACATAATCAGTATATGAGCACTGTAGTATCTTAACTTGTATTTATATGTATCCTTTAAATTAAGGACAGACTAAATTACTTCTAATTTTAAATCTGCAAGTTCTATAAAACTTCTTAGGTTTTTTTTTATTGTTATTATTGTTTCTCTGTTACAAAATGCTATTTGGACAAGAAATCAGGAGACTACCCAACAGAGTAATAGGTGACATTGATGCCTGGAAGACATCTCAAAATATCTTTTGTGAAATTTCTGGTAAAAACACAGAGAACTTTGCTTTAATGATACTATTGTTTGGAAGGATCAAGATTTGTCCAAAGTTTTATGCACACATATTAAAAAGGGTTAAAGATAATATGAAGAAATTTCTTTAGTACAGGTTCAATTCTTGGCTTTGTGGTTGAGACAGTTTTATTAATCTATTGAATATAGACTAACAATATTCAAATTTACTGAAAATGTGATTTTTTTCATTTTTCCAAATTAATTTCAATTATATATTATTGATTTCAATTATATTAAATATATATTAATTTAGAAAAAATAACATCCTTATTATAGTCAATCTTTCCACTAATGCATCTCCCACAATGCAATGTTACATAATAGTCATCTTCCTAATTATTCAACAGATCTCAGTCTGCTTATTTATTTGTTTGCTTATTCAAAGACAAAAAGAAGTAAAGTTTATGGCAATAATATAAAGTAAATAATCAACATGAAAAATGGAGTATATTCTTTGTTGTTTCCTAGGTCAAAAATTGAAATAACTGCATTAAGGTTTTGAGACGACAATCTCAATAATACTAGGCAAAGTACTAGACAAAGAAACAGGTTAAGAGGTATTGATAACAGTTTGGTTGATTCTAAAAAATAAAACCTTATAAAGGTGGATTGAGATTAAAATTAAAACAGTATTAGGAATAAAGAAGATGGGAAAAATCAAGATACTTCTGGAATATCTAACTTAAGAAAAAAAAGAAAGATAATACACCACTGAGAAAAGAGGACAAAAAGGAGAGCTGTTTAGAAGAATAATGAATTGAATTACAAATCAGTGAAGTCTGCAGAAACTCTAGAAAATGTGTATCTGTATACCAAGACAATAGCCATATACACTGGTTTATTCAAACTGAGGTGATGGTAGCAACATTGTAATGATGAAATAACCAAGGACTATAAGATGTAATATAATATAATAACGTAATTGCAGAGGCTGTTATTATCACTATTGGAGATATACATCTATATATTGTATTTATTTGGAGAGAAAACAACTGCAGGAAAATGCCAAGAGAAAAAACTAAGCTGCAATAGTGGCATATCTTTGACAACAGGATGCAGAATGTTCATGCAGAAATAACACAATAGCAACTAAGACAGTATCATGTTACCAGCATAAGATTTTGTTTGTTTTACAGAGTTTAATTATCAAAAGGCATATGACATACTGGCAAACCTAGTCCCTGGTTTGAATTTAGCTGAGTTAATAAATTTGGTCTAGAGTTTTGACTTTACATTAATAGGATGTCTAAACAATTTTATTTATGGTACATTTTACATTAAAAGGTACACAAATCTTAAACTTTTCAAGTTAAATCAGATTAAAATATAGGAATTTCACTAGCAAAATATCCAGGAAAGTAAAACTTTGATTTGGTGCTCACAAGATACTACACACAAAGATTTCTGACACAAGCTATACAACTTTTTGCTTACCTGCTCAACTACTTACTTTCAATGAGCATTAAAATCTTTAATTCACTAACTAGAAACTTAGAACTCCAATACAAATGCCGAATTCTCAATTAGAAGTTTAAAGATTATACATATACAATAAAAAGATTATTAATCTTGAAAATAAGAATATTCTCAAATAGCTCACCAAAATATTTACACAGCACCAAAAATCTTAATTTTATTTAGTTTTAAACACATAAAACTATTTAAAATTATTATTAAATTAATACTTCAAAAAGGAAGTAGTGAATTTGATATTTCAATATGAATGCTATTCAAATAAATATTTGTAAACTAAACCCTGTAATGTTTCATAGAAAAATAAATTGTCAATGGAAAAATATTATAATAGCAAGTGCAAATATAATTCAGACCAGTAGTCAAAAAACTCACCTTAATAACTCATTATGAATTTACAGAACATGCTCTCAGTTGATACCATGTACTTCAGCTTAGAGTATTTCCTGTGACACTAAAGTACTTTCAGGATTTACCCCAGTAAGTTTCATAGGAAGTTAGGCATGAATGGCAAAGAAAGAATAAACGATTGTATCTGTACAGGTTATAGTAATGACAGCAGGTTTGAAAATTTTCAGTACTCATCTGTTTCTGTAGCGATACGCCACATCAGTACAGAAAGCAAAAACATTACAAGCCTGAGTGATTTTAAGCTTGTCAGAAACAGACAGTTGATACCCACATGCCTTTTTTTTTTAATAGTGTTTTTCTTTGAATCTAATGAATCTATCTAATACATTTTATAAAAATTATGGAGTTATGTTCAGGAAGTGACATGTTTACACACTAACCTCATTTATCACATTCTTTTCTCCAAAATTCCTGTGCTATAGTAATTTATGGAGTGTTTCAGTAAGCTTTACATATTAAATTATTGACCTTGCTGTTTTCCAAATTCTCCAAACAAGGAGTAACAATGACAGAAACATACAGTTGCTTGCTAGCATAGCACTAAATTATATTAAAGATTTGCTCTTCTAGTAATATTAAACAAACTAAATCACTTTCATTTAAAATAAAACATAAAAAGCAGTATGAAACTAACTTATTTTATATTAATTCCAAAAGTTCAAGATTAAATTAAGTAAAAATTAACCTTCATTCCTGAAGAAAAAATACATAAAAACTATTTAAAACTATTATTAAATTAATTTAATACACACAAATAGAGTCCAATGCATGATGTTTGTTTTTACTGTGTAATTATTGTTTATATAATTGTTCATTTATTGTTGCTATATACTTAATATAAATATGTATGAATACATCAGAAATTCAATAACACAACTAAAGGATAGACCCATAACAGAAAAAAACAGCACTTAAGAAGGTATGATTAAGAGCCAAGAAAATCTTCTAATTCATGTTTTGAGTATAGGGTGAGTCTCTGAGTTTATTCTACCGAAGCAGATTTAGAATTACAATTATCTCAAAGAGTGTGTTGAGCTCCTCAGAGGTATATATTAGTGATTTTCATCAAACCTGGAGATTTTTTTCAGGTTAATAATTCTTCAAATACTCTTTCTTTTCTGTCCCTTTCTTTCTCTTTGCTCTCCTCTGGTACTCCCAGTATGCGTATGTTGGTTCATTTAATGATGTCTGACAAGTCTATAAGACTGTTCATTTTTCTTCATTCTTTTTTGTTCCATTTCCCAGTCTAGGATAATCACAAATATCCTATCTTCAAGTATGCTTATTCTTTCTTCTGTCAACTGCAATCATTTCTTGAATTCTTCTAGTGCATTTTTCATTCTGATACTATAATTTGACTCCAAAATTTCTACTTGGTTGTTTTCATAATTTTTTTCTCCTTGTAAAGATAATTTCTATTTGGTGAGACATCATCCTTACACTTTCAATTCTTTAGAAAAGGTTCTGTTTATTGGCCTTCTTGAATTAATTCTGTAAAATGTGTTTCCTATCAACTGCAGCAAAAAACAAAACAAAACAAAACAAAAACCAAACCTCTGCTCAGTTATCCATCAGCATAATTATTGCCTTAAATGACTTGAAGCAATAGAAATCACTTCCACCCCCGCCCTTTTGCTGTACTTTGAGGTTTGCTTGCAGCACTCCTCCAGTTTAAAACGTTCCTCTATCCTGCACTTTCTGTTTGTGCAGGACCTAAACGTCAACAAAGGGGAGAGAACGGGACCATCCCAGGTCTTTCCTGGGCTTGAGTGCAGCCTCAAGAATGTGGGTATCTTGTTCTCAGACCTTCTTTTTAAGATATTATCCAAAGTACTTGGTTTGCTCCAAACTGGCACTGTCACA